CACCCGGACAATCTCCTCACCGCACACTTAAAATTGCGCATTATCCCCAATGCACACCATAAACAATAAAAGGGTAAAAGAGACTCCCTGGTAGACCAAAGGCCAAAGCACTAACAACTCATGGAGTTCTCAAACTTCTCCCAAGCTTGGTCCTTCGAGCGGGTACCTCACACTTAGTTCCAACCATTTGGTTTGTTGTTGCATCCTTCCAATACCTTTGCTTTCCAGGCTCCTAGAAAATAAAAAAATGACACTACAAAAATAATACAATTAAAAAAAATAAAATAAAAGAAAGCAATAAAGCTGGGTTGCCTCCCAACAAGCGCTTGATTTAACGTCGCGGTACGACACGAATCATTTTTTGCCTCCACCTCGAGCTTATGAATTGAACCCCCCAATTTGGCATCAAGTTTTTGGCTATGCTCCAGAGGTGGAGGAACAAATCTAATTGGACCAAGCAACCATTGTACTATTATACACTTCTTGGCTTTTAGATGAGGTATGTAGTCATGTCTTTCTGGCAAGAAAAATTTCAGAATGTAGGCACCTTGTTCCTCATTCCTTGACTTCTCAATCGGCCCGGATGACTCTATTTCCATATCGTCATCCAAGCACAATGTAGAAAAATGTTTGGAGTAAGGACCAATGCGCTCACACACATGAACTTCAGAACTTTCAGCATCCTCAATATCAATGATACTAGAGCCACCAAAATTTGTATCCTCAATGTCCTCGGCTGACTCTAGTCTCACTTCTTCAACATTGACATACTTAAATTGTAGTTGGCTAGGTTGTTGATGTTCTACTCTGCCCTCCCCAATTAACACCTCAAATTCATGCTCTTCTTGGCTACTATCATCAATATTGGCTTGTTGAGCATTAAAAGCTCCAACCACTTGACTCAATTGAGCCTCCAACTTGCGAATAGTTGCCTATTGCCTTTCTATCTGCAATTGTTTTTTATTATTTTGTTTTAGAAGGCACTATAACATATCCTTGATCTCCTTCAGGTCTGCATCCCTAGGTTCTTTGTTCCTATTAACTTTACAAGAAAAGGTAGAACCATCATAGTAAGGGGTTGAGGGAAGACAAGAAATATAAGCACAACCATTAAAGTGACCATTTTTACCACCACACACATCACACACATTCCACAAATAAGATTGAGTTGGTGCACATAACTTGCTCTCAGGAATATTTTGATAATTTTGATACAGGTGGTTTCCTTCACAATATGTATGAGGATCAATAGTAGAATTATCTACACCCAAATTTCAATAATTCCAAGATGTCATGTTTTTCAAATCAACAATTATAAAAAAAATACAAAACAAAATAAAAGTTCAAACTTGAACCATAGCAATATATACAGCAACAACTACACCGTTAGTTTCCCGGCAACGGCGCCAAAATTTGATCACGCACAACTCTAGTCCTAAAAAGGATAAGCGGTCGCTGCAAATATAATTCGGTCTAAAAGTCCAGAGTCGAATCCCACAGAAAATTAAGGCTTAGCTATATCTGTTTAATATCACTAAAAAACAAGTTTGAACAATTTTCAAAATTATAAAGATTGAGATTTATATTTCTAACTAATTAACTAGCAAATACTAGAAAACGGTAAAATTATCAACTGACGAGACAAAGAATTGGAGACTAAATTAAGGAGGTTTAGAGTTATGATTTCCCTAATTGTCGGAATCCTTCTAGCTATGTTCCCTTCAATTTTGCCAATGTATTCTCTACTGATCGTGAGCACTTTAGATGCCGTAATTCTCTCTCGAGAAACTACAACAATTTACTAGACATATTCTTTCGAACTACACTAGTTGACTTTATCTAACCGCTCATTATGACCACGTCAATGCTTTGTTATTTCTAAACCTACTTTTAAACCCATTGTATTGGTTTCTCACTTACGTTATTCAACAATTACCTAAATATATACTCTCTCTCGAGAACTACACACTAAATAGGCACAGTTAATTGATGGTCATTCAATCCACAACAACAAACACGTAGTTGAACAAGTAGAGAAATCCATCGGCTCAATTATATAAAAACATAACAAGAATTTATTCTACAAAATGTTCTATCAAAACCCTAGATAACAAATTAGCTATTCATAATAGTATGTAAAACTAAAATACTAAAAGTCATAACCAACAATGAAAAATAGGAAGAAGAAGAAGGAAAAACTTGTAGAAGAATTCTCCACCTTGCTCCTATTGTGTCTCTGCCTCCTTAGGTCGAATCTGTGTCAAAAATTGGTCTCCTCCCCGCAAAATATCATTTTTCCATGTATATATACCAACTAGGGTAGGGCCCAAACTATGAAACCTTCTCCTACGCGAAAAAGGACAAGTTTCCAGGCCTGGACGTCCGCGGCCGCGGCCTGGGCGTGGTATTTGGCAAGTCTACTGTTTCAGTTTACGTCAGGTTCGTGGTCGCAGTTTCGACCGCGTTTTTCACCCTGTTAAGTTTGGAATTTGAAAAAACGTAAAACATGAAAGTTGTAGCCCTTTGAGTTAGATTTGCAACCATATATTGTTCAGCCCAAATGGAGTTCTGAGAAAACAGTTATGTGCATTTTACTAGACAGTGCATAATATACCTACTCGATTCTTCGTTTTGTTGCTCTATCATCTGTTGATCCCGAATACGATCCTGACTTAATTTCTTAGGCTTTTACTTAGACTTCAAAGCTATAAATCACTTGAATTAATTCCATAACATCTACATAGCTCGGAATCCTTCCTACAAGGCATAAAACACACAATTCGTGCAAGACACTTGCGATTAAAGCTCAAACTCAATTAAAGTGCAGTAAATTTGAGTGTAATAAGTGACTACAATACATAATTATAGCCTATCACCATGTCCCTTCTTCTTACAGTAGTCATAATAGTCATTGTAGGTTCTCTTCTACTTAGAATAATTTCCAAACTGTTGAGAATTGTTTGGCTGAAAGTTATTAGGATGAAAACTAGGTTGGAAACCACTAGATCTGGATGAATATATGGCAGTTGACTCATAACTTTCAGCTAGAATAGGTAACGTCAATCCTAAATTTCCTGCTGTGACAACTATAGATTTTTGGTTTTCATCACTCATGATCATAGAGAATGCCTGATTGACTGTAGGTAAGGGATAAATCAATAGTATTTGACTCCTTGCTTGAGCATAAGAGTCGTGCAATCCCATAAGGAATTTGTACAACTTCTGTCTCATCATAAAAGCAACATAATCTCTGGACTTCTCACAATCACATGGAGCAGGGTCTAAAGCTTCAAACTCATCCCAAAGGTCTTTCATCTTAGTGTAATAAACAGAAATAGATGATGTACCTTGATATAAGGTTGCAATATCCTTGTGTAGGTTAAATGACCTAGATCCATCTACTTTGTCAAATTTCTCTCGCAAATCCTCCCAAACAGCCTGTGCATTAACTCCAAATACCACTCCTCCAACGAGCTATGAAGTTACAACATTCATCAACCATGAGAGTACAATTGTATTGCACCTCTCCCATTGTTCTTATAGATTTTCACGAAAATTTTCTTTTTTCCATGTTCCTTCAACCAACCATAGCTTATTTCTTCCTCATAGAGCTATCCTCATAGATCGATTCCATATAATATAATTGTCCGTACCTGTTAATTGAAAGGAAATCAATTGTTCTCCACTCGTATCTGCAGGTCCAAGGTATAATGGATGATTGTGAGGCAAACCAACTCCAAATTCCTCATTAGCTAGAGTATTTCCAATTCATGTATCTACACATGCGACAACATTAGCTGTGGTGTTATCAGCATTATCTCCCATGGCTATTCTGCTTTAATTGACGAGGCTTCGATTCTTCGATTGATTTTTCTTGAATCTCACAATTTTACCAATGGCGATGTGAATCGATGAATGAGACTAGTGATTCATAGTCTTACTACTCTGATACCATGTTAAATCTATGGATCAAGCTATGTAAACCCTAGCTGAGAAGGAAATCAATAGAAGAAGGAGATGAGCTGAAGTTAGAAATGCAGAAATCAATTCTGTTATTACTGTGTATACAGTGTAGAAGCGATCCCTATTTATAGAAGATGACTAACGACTTTATACATCTAACTACCTAGAGCTAAATAGACTAAACTACCCTTAGTTTATTATACATTTAGTCACACCTCTCACAACATATAGTGTATTGAGTGTATATGAAGGGATCCTGACGAAGTTATGTAAAGTTTTTGAAGTACTCCATATATTGTCCATAAAGCATGTTAAATTAGGCATGATTGTGTTAGAAGTATAAAATATCTTGAATACGGTATATAAAAGTATCCAAGGAGGATAATAAATTTTTTGATCTACTATGCCTATTGGTTAAGCTTTCATGTTAATTAGATATACAATTAGATTACTAAAATACCTAAACTACTTCACCTAGCTAATAATTGATTGAAATTTGTGTTAGAAGCTATAAGATAAATACTTTTATGTTATGTCATTTGCTCTACAAATTGAATGGTTTTAGTACACGCATTGTAAATACGTATATACTACAATTAGTTCAAGGTTAAAGTCTAAGAGAGGAGATCGAGGCGGAGCTAGAATACAAGTTACAGGTTCAAATGAATTTAGCAGCTTTAATCCAAACCTATATTTGTCATAAGAAATTTATTGATTATATTTAAATAATTAATTTAAAAATTCGATGTAAACATACTAGAATCCTGATTTAATAAATTTCAAATTTTAACTCTGATGGTATAGGGATGGTGACACATGAAGAAAGGGAGAGTTTTGGTAATTGTCGTGGTCATTTCTGGAGCCAGTTAACCAATTGTGAATAATGTAGGGTCAAGGGGGCATGGTGTCTGTTGTTATGCTTTTATGACTTTGTTTGTCCTTTCCTACACAGTGCATACCCCCTCTCTCTTTCTTTCTCCATCCTTTATTTATTATCATCTCTATCCCCCTCTTCTTTCATTCATTCTCAACATCATATCAATTTCCTCTTCCCCTTTCTTCCCTTTCTTTCTCTCTTAGTTTCATCAAGATTCATAGGAGGAAGTTCTCTCAGTTGAGGGGAATGTTGTCTGGCTCGAGGTCACCAACTAGATCCATAAACTCCATATTATGCTTTTTTGAATATAAAGATTAGTTTTTCTTTTCTTTTCACTAGGAAAATTTAAAGATTAGTTGATTATATTAAAAAGGGTTTATGGATCATGAGTTAGTGTTGTCGGACCAGGCTTCATTCCCCCCAATTGCTACTTCCTCTCTGGACTAAAATCAAATCTTTGACATGAGACGAGTTTTGGCTTATGAAAATGGTAAGTTTTATTTGTAAAAAAAAAAAAGGCAGCCCATGCACTAACCTTCCGCTATGAGCGGGATTTGTGGAAGAGCCGGATCACAAGAGTCTATCGTATGGAGCCTTACTCAGTATTTCTGCAAGAGGTTGTTTTTACTGCTCGAACATGTGAACTCCTGTTCGGCAAACAACTTTACTAGTTTTATTTGTAAGATCTTGATATACATGAGACGAGTTTCAGCTTTTGTAGTTAGTTTTGGACAAGAGCAGATTGGTGTAATGATGAAGAATTTTGACTCATTCCACTTTCCTGCCACGGTAAATGCAGACGAGTTTATTGAATACTACTATTTTTAACCTCAAATCTGATTCTGCTTTTATTTTGCTTGTCATTTGTGTTCCTTTTTCTTTTGTCAGTTACTCTCTCTGTTTGAGTTAGAGTTACTTATATCATTAGTCTGATTTTTCTCATGATGGCTTCTTGAATCTCTTCTGTCCGTTTCTGCTCTTTTCTTCTTTTTTAGATTTCTCTCTTTCTGCTATCATCATTATTATGAGGACCATTTTACTCATCATTTCTTATTTTAGGGTTTTACTTCCTAGTTCCCACATATGATATCTTATAAAGGAGAAATCATTGATTTTATGCAAAAACACATTCATTTCAGTTTCTCATCTTATTTTGTTTCTTATTTATTGTTTCCATTTTTTTTAAAAATATTTTTCACTCATTTCTGCTTTTCTTGATGACAGACTCGGAGATATGCAGACTTTTACCTTATATTTTGTACAAGATCTTGTGACATCATCATATACACAGGGTTATGCTAATAAAGTTTCTTCACATGAACAAGAAGCTACATTGCTCGTTTCTGTTTTACTTTTTGGGTTAAAACTTATACAAGTGTGAAAGAATATATTCATTCTAAGCTTTTGTAAAGCTGGCGTAAGATTTTTTATTTCTTGAAGAATGATCAGAGAATAATCTTTCAAATGTCTATACTCTTTATCATGGAGTAAGTTGTGAATGAGAAAGCAAACTATGTTGGGCAACTCTTCAAAACAGTGGTCGCACCCGTTTTGGATCCTATAGCTATGCATCATGCACCAAATGACATTTTCGTAGAATCCAAGCAATATCGTTGTTTTCTCTCATTGTGATTTACCTTATAACCTTGTTGTTTTTATTCTGCTTTTATATGACTTTTTGGTAATGTTCATTCTTTTCTATATTTTCATTAATGAGGTGCATATATGCTTTTCTGAGCCGATGATAAGACTGAGTACACACTACCCTCCCCATACCCCACAGTGTGAGATAAGATTGGGTATTTTGTTGTTGTTGAAGAATCCGAGCAATATAGGTTAAAACCCTCTTGCAGTAGTGACTTGTTGTTTTACAATATTTTCTTAATATTTACATGTGACAGTGAATTATTGTTTACCCTATACATTACAAACCGTAAAGTTACTATACCAGAGTGATTTTCTTTAATAAGAATTGTGTTGTACAATCAATATCAACCCTATTTGATGTGAAAATAAGCTAAGGGCCTGTGATTGTTGTACAATTACATAATGGATCTGTGGATGAACTGGATTCAACATTGCATATGGAACTTTGGAAATTGAAGCTAAATTCTGTCGCTCTCTTGGCTCTATTACATTCTTGTGATCTGCTCCTTTTTTTTTGATGGGATGTTTTTTGGTACTCTATACTAGCATTATTCACTCACAATTTAAAATAAAATAAAATTAATACAGTTCGAATATTGAAAGATTTGAGCGACTTTGGGAATATCTAAATAGAATGAGAGTAGGTTTTCAAGTAAATTTTTTTTTTCCCAAAAACTCAAAATTTGCGTTTGCAAATTTAGTATTTGAAAATTTAAAACAAGCACCACCTTGATTCATTTTTGAAAAACTGAGGTTTGAGGGTGCACCTATGTACAATAACAAACCTAGTTTAATCCCACAACGTAGGGTTTGAGGGTAGAGTGTACGCAGACCTTCCGATATACCCAACTCAAGAGAGTGCGTGTATGTAACTATTGGAAAATGATGTGTTGTCTAATGAATTCAATGGAAGTCATAGCAGCTCCTATGTACATTGCTTTGGTGTTAGAGGACTTCTCTATTAAGTTTGTTTTCTTGCCTTTCAGCAATGAAACTACTTGTACTTTTAAAATAGTTGAAAATAACATTAATAGTGTTACATCTTTGTAAAACAACAACAATAACCCAGTATAATCCCACTAGTAGGGTCTGGGGAAGGTAGTGTGTACGCAGACCTTACTTCTACCCTGGGTAGAGAGGCTAAACTTGTCCCTAGCTGTCCCTCCTCTGGATTTAAGCAATGAAGCTACTTAAACTTTTACCTATTACGAAAATAACACTGATAGGGTTACATTTTAGCTTAAAATGTTGGAAAAATGACGTCTTTAAATGCTTGGCCTTTCATGGATTTAATGTGTCAAACAGAAAATAGCATCTACTATTTTTTTCTGGGGTTGTCAAAGTTTTTTTTTTGGGTTGTCAAAGTTTGATCTTGTGATGCTGGTTGTACGATTTTATCAGCTGTTTGAGTGTTGAAACTAAACTGAAATAAAACAAGAGAATACATCAATTGAGGGCAAAGTTAGATCATTTCCCATGGTCCAGAGGCAAACTTTGATTTTTTTTCCTATAAAATAAATTAAACCATCCTCAAGTCAATAAGGTATACGATTAGAGGTAGGGCAAATTTAGGACGAAAAATAAAAATTAGATGAGCCAATAGGTTAACGAATTATGACACTGGTGGAAACACATGACATATCGAATGACATGATTTTCGAGAAGTAACACATGCAAGGATTTGTATCTTCCCACAGGGAGAGTTTTTAAGGGAATAGGAGTGGACATCTACAGTGGCGATGTGCATGGACATTTATGGGTGCTCGGTTAGTAAATTTGTATAGACAATTATATAAATAGTTAGATAAATATGGAGTGAGCACCCATGATTAATTTTTTTTTGCTCTTCTTTCGGATTTTTTATCGACGAGTACCCGTCACTTTAAAATTCTGGATCCACCACTTGACATCTATGCGGACTTCATGTGATTAGAAACCAACCACTACGAGTATTGCAAGTTTACAAGATGAATCAAATAAAATAGAGATATTTTTTAACCCTTCTCATTAAAAAAGAAAAAAGGAAAAGAAAAGATACAATTGAGGGAAGAATGAAGAATTAACTTTAGAAGTTACTATATGGATTAAAAAATTAGTGGGAAGTGAAATCCCTCGATAGAAATGTTGACAAAAACCTGGAAAAGAGTGAAGGCTCTCTCTCATTGTGTCATCAATTTTTACTGAAGCTGAGGCATCATTTTCATATTATAGTATGCTAACATTTAATGCCTTTACTACTCAGGCTGGCCTTCACGCCATTCCTCTTTCAGTAGAGTCAACATCAATATATCAGCCCATAGCATCTATATATAATATTGGATCCCTACATTTATATATATGTATGGTTTTTCACTTTACCCCCTGAGTTTCTGACCTCTACTTAATTAGACAATGATATTTCTCTCATTGTTTTCAAAAATTACTGCCAAGTTTTCTGGCTACATATATAAGCATGTCAGCTTGACTCCTGCATGTCTGTGCTTTTTTTCCTTTCCCTTTCATCACTAGAGTAGCCCCTTAATTTTCGCCCTCAATCCAGACAAATACGCACAAGTTAAATCTTGTTTCTCTTAGTTTTTAAATAAGTTTAATTAAGATATAATATCTCCGTTAGGGGTGGGCGGTCGGGCAGATCGGATTGGATATGAGAATTTCGGTTTGAATTTCGATTTTCTGATTGAAGAAATGACAATCCAAATAAGTACGGATTTGATCGGTTATTTTAAGTTCGGTTTCGGGTTAATCTGGTTGGCTATTATAGATTTTCGGTTTTGAGTGTATAAGCTGAGATATTTCTACTTTTTACAAAAATGAATATCAAAATAAAGTACTCATGTTAAATTGGCTGAAAAGTTCCTCATTCTTGCCGCAATCATCCAAATAAAATATTCAAGTACTGAAATTATTATAAAAGATACAGTAGAAACATTAATAAGGCCGATAAGAAATAGCAATAGTAAAATCATATCCAAATAGAAAGTATTTTGACGGTAACTTAGTAATTAATATTGAATATATGAAATAGTATATAATGGGTAGGGTATTGGACTTATTACTATTGACATATGGATAATGGACTAAATATAAAGTATAAAATTTTTGGATTTTCGGATATCCAAAAATCCGAAATGCGAAATGCAATATCCAAATTTTTTTAAAATTAAATCCAAAATCTAATCCATAGTCCGAAAATCCTATCCAAAAATTCAAAATTTTGAATTTCGGTTTTGCCCAAATTATGGCCACCCCTAATCTCCATGTAGGAAAAAGAGGGTGGGAAAAGAATTAAACCATACTGGGACATTGGATAGCATATTCTTTGTGTTTAAGATTTTGAGCGACTCTCTCATAAATTCAGCAAAATTACTTTACGATTTTTTTTTTGCTGATCAGTATTTGTATGCAATCTTATGAAAACTTAAATAAGAATTTAAAATATTTATCTTGAACTTAAACCAGGTAATAAGACCGCCATTGATTTGTTGCATTTCTTACTCTTTATTATATGCATTAAACTCTATGCCTCAAGTATACTGTATGCTTAGACGGGTCTTTATATTTGTCCACAATTTATATTTCTATTTTCCTCCACCCATCTCCAACACTGCCCCCTACCCACGACCCTCACCCCGGTGAATTTTTATGGCGAATCCAAGATTTGAATTTTATGGGTTAGAAATGCCACGAAACCAATACTTACCAATTACCATAGTTATTTGGTTCCAAATTAAATATCTGTACATATTTAGTAAACTTCTTAAAATATATACAGTATACGAACCAAAATTATTGTGTTCAACTGAACTCATAGCTTATATTCAGATGTAGAGCTAACATTTGAAACTTATGGGTTTATTATTCTAATTATTTAAGTTATTAGGTTCTAAATTAATAATTTGTACTTAATTCAATAATTTTTTGAGACAAATATAGAGTTTGAAGAAAAGTTACTAGAATTTGTCGAATCCGTATCAAAGGGCAAGCTCCGCCCCTGCGCATATTGAGTATTTGCTCATGAGGGTGTGGTAAGACCTCTAATATTGGTGATGGAGAAAGGAACTTTATCAAGGGAATTCAGAAAAATACTCTGTCACATTAGGGGATTCAACGATTAAAATATACATATAAATTTTACCTTATACGTGTATAATTATATTTATGTATAATATGTGTATAACTATAAAGAAAGTTGACCAATAAAAAAGAGAAATGTATATTACTAACAGCGCTAAAAGATAATAGCTGATAAAATGTATATATATTTTTTTATATATATGAGTATCTTATACATATATATTATATACTTTTTTGCTAGAGAATACAATTAGTTTAGGCTTATTTTACCCAATAAAGAATCCACCATGCTGGGCTTTATGATACTTACCTGGAGCCTTTCACCCCTGGCAGGCATGACCCGAATCCTTGGGCCCAAATGCCCAATTAAAGCCTGTGGAATAATAACAGGAATGTTTACATAAATAGCCGGTTTACTTTTTCTAGCCATATATATAAATTATATAATAATTATACACAATTATACACATATAATATATAAATTATGTATGTATTATACCTCCACCGATTATTTTTAGTTTAAGTTATTAGGTGAGCGCTGCTATTTTTGTAAAAATCCCTAATATATATTACGAAGAATTAACCAAAATATTATCATTTAATTTGTGTTGGGCTTCTTTGACTTGCAAACATATCTAAAACGTGATTTTGTTTTTATTCCGTCATCTTGAACATCCAATAAAATTAGTGAGCCCTGTGGTTTATGAAAGAATTCTTGAACTTTATTATTATTTTTTTTCTAATGTACCAGAATAAAATTAGAACTTACAGGCAAACCACTTCAACTATATAAAATATCGAATCATTTTGTAATTTTGAAATCACTCCGTCAATCTTAAATCATAATGACGTACAATATTGAAAATGAGGATTGTGTAGCTGGAAAACACGTTTAATTTACAACAAAAAGAATAATACTAATTTCTAGTAGAAAGCAAAGCTGCCCACATGAAAAATATGCCTAAACCTT